GCTGAAAGGTATCAAGAACTAGAAAAAGAAAAAAAAAGATATATTATTAGAGATATTAGAAAAGATTTTTGTAGAATATCTTAAAAATCAGAAGATCTTTAATAAAATATAAACTTCTGAGAAGAAGACCAAGGTCTAGAAAAAAAAAAAGAAAAGAAAAACCAAGAAAAGGAAAAAAGAAAACTCCCAGACTCAAAACACAGAGAAAAGAAAACTTAAGCAGTTTGACCAAGACCTAAAAATAAAGAAATTAAAAAAGGACTCAAGATATCTTGTAAAAAAAAGAATAGGCAGAAGAATATTTCTGGAAGAAACTTATAGAACAAGCCCTCGAAAAGAAGAAAAAAGATACGAAGCTATAAACCAGGAAGGAAAACTATAGAAAAGGATATAAGAAGACTTTTAAGAGCTAGATCTCCAAGTAGAAAGGACAGGTTAAACTAGAAGAAAAGGAAAAGAAAATACAAATACAAATCTGTCAATAAGCTAGTATTAAAAGAGAAGCTTGATTTATTTATTATTAAAAAATTAGTTTTAGAATTTTGTTGTAAAAAGGAGAATAGTCTAGAAAGAGAAAATTGCCAACTTAATGTAGTGAAAAATTCTTTTATTACGAAACTATCTGTTGATGGTTTCTTAGGCTGCTTGGTATAGCCTTCTAGCAGGGTTGGCAATAGAGCCAATAGAGCTCAATAGTTGTGTAAATGGAGCTCAACAAATTAGTATCTATTGGCTCTATTCAGAGCTCCATTGGTTCCATTCACAACTCCATTGGGCTTCATTGAACTCTATTGCCAACCCTGCCCTCTGGTACAGGCAATTGTCTTAACTAGTGAGGCAGATCGCACTGAGCACCTATAAAGAAAGCTGAGTGATGTCAGATCTGCAACTTAGATAGTTTAAATATATGTATTTATATATATGCTTTGATCTAATAAAAGATACTAGCAAGGCTGCCAATATTTTAAAAAAAAAATTTTTTAAATATATATATGAGTTCATATATATTGTTATATTTCAATCTTTTTATTCTTGCCTTCTTAATAATCTCTTTCTGGTACTGCTAAAACCAATTATTCACATTGATATTGTCAACTTTCTACTAAAAACAAAGCATACTGTAAAGTACATATAGTAAGAGAATCAAAATTTTAATATATTATACCTTAACTATTAGTTCATATTATAATTCTGTTAAAATATTTGTTAAGTCAAATTTAATTTCTATATCATCTTCTTTATAATATTCTTTGTTACCCTCATTAGAAGAAGGATGAGACTCAGAAGAAAACATTTTGTTTATTGGTTGAGAATCACTTTTTATACTTATTTTTGTCTAAATATAGAGAATTATATATGAGATTTTATATTCAAGTAACTTTTATCACATATAATTTTTATCTTTTTATATGTAGAAATGTCTTTTTTGATCTCATTTTCTCATTTATTAGGAGCTGGTAATTTTGTTTCTTTATTCAGAATTCTATATGAATATATATACTATTCACAGAAAAAAGTATTAGTACAAGTAAAACTTGATGATTAAATATATTTTCAATGAGAACTATTATATCTCATCCTCAAATACCAAAAACAGATTGTTTTTAGAATCTGCAATTGGTTTTTGGATTTCATTTTTCTTGCTTCCAGATAGTTCTTGATTTCGGTTTATTTTTGTTGCAATAAGTTCCAAGTTTGCAAAAATACTATTATTCAATGCAAGCATATATAGTTGGCTTTGACTTGTAGGTTCTAGATTTTAATTTATCTTAGTTGTAGTAAGTTCCAGGTTTACAAAAACACTATCATTCAATGAAAATGCATATGATTGGCTTTAACTTGGAGATTCTTGATCATGATTTATCTTAGCTACAATATTTCAAATTTGCAAAAGTATTACCATATATTGCCAAAAATAAGTCACATCTGATAATAAGCTACCTTTTGTTTTGACCAAAAACCTAAAAACTTGTTTCACCTGAAAATTAGCTACCTCACTTTTTTCAAACTAAAACAATAATAAAATTTTTAATTCTGAAAATAAGCTACCCTGTTTTAAAATTTAAATTATATATATAGATAGAAAAATGAATCGCATATATACAATATGTAGTGGAAATAAAAAGTAAATTTTTGGTTATTCTCATAGTAAGGAATAACCAGAAATTACTTTTTATTCCCACCATTAATACTGTATATTCCTGAAAATAAGCTACCTTCTTTTTTGGAAGAAAAATGTAAAAACTTCTATTGCCCGAAAATAAGCTACTTATACGATTATCAGTAGTTACGTTATAGTAAAGTTGAAATTTTACTAAGTAAATCAATATGACTTATTAAGTGAAATTTATTTAGGAGATCAAAATACATATATTCTAAAAATTTTATATAAATTAAATAACTTTTTATTAATTAACTTTTGCATGTTACGTTCGACGAATTTTTTAAATTTTCTTTAAAATTCATATTTATTGAAAGTAAAAATCAAAAGGCAATTAATAAAAAGTTATTCGATTTACATGAAATTTTCAGGATATATATATTTTGATCTTTTGAATAACTTTCACTTAATAAGCCATGCCGATTTATTTAGTAAGATCTTTCGCAATCGAGCAAATCCACTTTTATCCAAAAATAAGCTATTCCAATATTTTTGTGTAATTTTTCTTTCAAAAATGGTAGGTTATTTTTGGGAATATACAGTATATGCGCATGCCTAAAAAATTAATAAAAGTTGAAAATTTGCTTTATATTTCTACCCATAAAAGCATCTAAATATCCATTTGCTCACCTATCCATCTATTATCTCCAAC